TAACGTTTACAACTCTTCAAAATTACAAAGGTTAATGATAGAATGAGTTGTGAATGATAGATTTACTAACTTTGTGGTTTATTTTATAAAATGTTTTTACTTTTTGTGATATATTTATCATTAAGGATAATTTTGTAAATATCACTACAAAACAATGAGTACTTTTGTCATCTTTATAAGGGGTAAATTTTTTACTAAAAGACAAGGGCATTCTACAAATAAAATTTCAAGGCACTAACTTCCAAAATGCCATTATACTTTTATGAAAATTTCAAATTTGTTCTTGTTTAATGATAAAGTTACCTATTAAAATAATTTTTTAATAAAAAAGTAATGATCTTTTTGATAAATACACTCATCACAACCCCTTCAAACCTTAACCTTTGTATTTTGAGGGGTTGTTAATTCTAGACAGTTTTATAAAATTTAAGGCTTAAAAAATAGTACAGATTCAACATATCTATTAAAAACTTTAAAATCTTGAAAATTGATAGTAAAAAAATACGTTATAAGATGTACTTTTTCTAAAACTTGAAATCCTTTTTTTTTTTTTCTTATGTCCATGCATCTTGTTGTCAAGATGATCATTTGGAGGATATTTGGGCATCAAAACAACCTTTTCCAGGGGACTTTAATTTGATTGTTTAGAGCCTTGGCTATATATAAACTTTTTCCTTGTTTATCAGTATTTAATATATCAGGTGAGTTGAAGTGCTGGACCACTTCAGATATTGGAAATCTGAAGTTGGGGCAATTTGAAGAAAAAAAAACTGTAAATTTTCAAAGATTTTAGTAATAACTTAATTAAGGAAAATGGTTTGATAGGGCAATTCTATCAAAATAAGTAATTCTTCACTTCATAACTCATCGAAAATTGCAACATTGGAAAACCTTTACATCGATCATCTCGGCTGGAATACTATAGTTGTAAAAACAAATTAGGATTTTAAGCTTTAAAAATAGGTTAAAAATAAGTCTGCAAAGATCTGTAAGATCTATACCATTTTTAAGTTTCAAATTTTACTGTTCATTTTGGAAATTGATTTTAGAATCCTCATAGAGATTTATGTTACTTTCGGGATGAGGATTTAAGGTGAGGCTTTTATTTTGTTTTTTATAAAGCCTAGGTTTTATGGTAACTTCATCTCTTAATTGTGGAAGGAAAAAGTTTACATGGAGTCAAAGCTCTAAAAAAATCAAATTAGAGCCCACCTAAAAAATTCAACTAAAAAAGATTGTTTTAATGCCCAAATATCCTCAAATTGATCATCTGGACATCAAGATGCATGGACATGAGAAAAAATGAATTTTAAGTTTTTAAAATATTGTATCTTGTAACATATTTTTGGATCGTCAATTTTCAAGATTTTCATATTTTGAAGCTTTAAATTTTATAATTAAAGATAAAAATATATTTGAAGACTATGATAAAGATTTCCAATGTTGAAACCACATTTCTCAACGCTATTTAAAGATGCACTTCACTTTGATTATTTAGAGCCTCAGCTCAATACAAACCGCACCCATTAAATAATTTTCTATAAAATTTAGGGAAATTATAGCTAATATACCTTAATTTTAAGAAAATCCTGAAAAAGCCTCTAACTTCCCAAAACGTCGCCTGCACCTTTTTTCCCAATTTTGATATTTTCTAGACGAAAATACCTTTTACGGTAGTCTTTCTACAGTAATGCATTACGATCTTACGATAATTAGTTCTAGTACCGTAATAACATAAACATCTATTACGATACTTTAATTACCATAATAACATAGAGTATTATGGTAATTAAAATACCGTAATACTTTAAAATAGTATTACGGTAATTTAAGTACCGTAATATTGCCCAACTCAACACGAAAGATTTTTTACTCTTTCGAGCCTACTATTTATTTATTCCCTCGACAAAAATCCACACTAGCTGTAATTCTTTAAATCTCAAATTTTAAGATATAATCTCTACTTAAGTTTTATATGGTTATCAAAATTTTAGAACTAAAGCACGCTTAAATTGGTATTTTTTAGCGAGGGAGTAGATCACATTGTGCTCTTATGGGAACATAGATTTTTTGAAAAGAGTAACCCTGATATTAGTTTTGGTTTGAAGCTTTTAAATTATGTATTAAGGGTTACCCTTTAAAAGCTTAAAACCAAAGCTAATATCAGGGCTACCATTTTCAAAAAATTTATGTTTCCATAGGCGCACGATGTGGATCTACTCTCTTGCTCAAAAATATATATTTAAGCGTGCTTTCGTTCTAAAATTTTGAGAACTATATAAAACTTACGTAGAGATTATATCTTAAAAATTTGATATTTGAAAAAATTACAGCTAACAGTGAATGAATTTTTGTCGATGGAGTAAATAAATAATAGATTCGAGAGGGTAAAAAATCTTTTGTGTTGAGTTAGACAATACTACTGTATTTAAATTACCGTATTATGATATTTTAATTACCATAATACTTTATATTATTACGGTAATGATCACATTACATTACCATAGAAAGATTAACGTAAAGGTATTTTCGTTCAGAAAATGCTAAAAATTAAAAAAATTTCGTAAAAATCCCCCCATCCAAATCTCCACCTCCTCGAGGAGCATTTCCGTTAATTACCCGAAAACAAAGGATACTATAGTCATTGTGAAATATCACACGTGCAAAAACAGGCTATTAAAGACTGCCGCACAAGCGGCGCCTTTATGTACAGAAACATATCTTTCACACGTGTTATGTGGTTACAATCTCACCATGGTTAAATTATGCCAGGTTAACTTTTGAGGACATAAGAACCCCTTAACCCCAGTTAATATTACTTAACCCGCCCTCTTCCACACGTGTGGAGAGTTAAAGAATTTAACCATGGTAAAATAATTGCGAACTAACCACAGTAAGTGATTGAGCACTACTTAACCCGAGGTAACTTTTAACCCACCCCACATGACCTATTTAAACCTCGCTTAACGGAAGGCCATCAACCATTGTCGCTTGCGCTTCCTAGTCGCCTGGTAACCGCTTTTGTGCGCCGGTATTCCACTTGTCGTGACGCTAAACCGGATTTTACCATGGCCAACTGCTTTTTTCCAACTGTAAAACCACCTTTCTCGTAGAGAACGTTTCCATGTCTTCTAAAACTGTTTCGCTTCTGATTAAAACTGTGATTCGTTGCTCATATTCTGACGCCGGAAAACCGTTTTCATCCTCGGAATATCCTTATTTTCGCCGCCAAACCACTGCTCTCTGCTCTGTTAGAAATCCTGGTTATCTCTCATTTTCTTGTTGATTTACGCAGTTTTATCGCCATTTTTTGCAGCAGTAATTGCTCTTTAATGCTTTGTTTTCTCGACTGAAACTTAGGGTTTCTCTTCTGAAACCGCCGTTTCCCGTGCCCCTTGCTTTTGAAGCCGTTATGGAAAGCCATCATCATTTGTTCATTTGAGCAATGAAACCGATAAACCCTAAAATTACGGTGTACGGTGGTTCTCACGTTTTTTCTCACTGAACCACTGGCTACTCTCTCTCTAAAATATCTGCACCAGTTGGTTTTTCTCTCTATAACTGCATACGCGCATTTCTGTCTAAATCCCTTGCTTCCATCGCCTAAAAGCTTCAACAAACAGTTGGTGTTTCTCTCTCTAACTTACTTCGTTAATCTCTCTCCGGCACTTATTTCTACTTAAAAAGTCGCCCTTTCTCTCCTTAAACAGCCATAACTACGTTCTTTCTTTCCATCTTCCGATTTCATCTCCCACGAAACAATGCCTTTTGGTATGGATTCAATCTGGCTGCTGTTTGCTATGGCTTACTCGGCTGGCTCACCTTTGCTCCAATGGCAAACCCTAACCCTAATTTTTCTCTCACTATCAATCCTCGTCTTCTCTCACTGGTTAACACCAGGTGGGTTTGCTTGGTCTCTGGTGAAAACCACCCAAACCCACATCAATGGACCGTTTGGGTTCCCGTTTTTGGGCCAATTCTTCATGTTCTCAAGCCCATTAGCCCACAGCAAGCTTGCTTCCACGGCGAAATATCTGAACTCAACTGGTTTAATGGCTTTCAGCTTGGGTTTTACAAGAGTCATCATATCGAGTAGCCCCCTTACTGCAAAAGATATTTTGAATAGCCCATCCTTTGCGAATAGACCCATTAAAGAAAGTGCTTACAATCTGATGTTTCATAGAGCAATGGGTTTTGCTCCCTATGGTGATTACTGGAGAAATTTGAGAAGGATTTCTGCAACTTATTTGTTCAGTCCGAGAAGGATCGAGGGTTCTAGTTTTTACAGGAAGGTCTGTGGAGAGAGAATGATTGAGGAAATTGCGGTAGCAATGAAGAGAGAGAGAGTTGTTGCGGTGAGGAAGATTTTGCATTTGGGCTCTCTGAATCATGTGATGAAAGTGGTGTTTGGGAGAGATTTCGACTTCAATAGAGGCGATGGGATTGAACTGATGGATCTGGTGAGAGAGGGATACGAGTTATTGGGTTCTTTTAATTGGGGCGATCATGTTCATTTCCTGGGGTGGTTGGATTTGAATGGAGTGAGAAAGAGGAGTAAAAATTTGGCATGTAGAGTGAGAAGCTTTGTTGGGAAGATCATTGAGGAACACAGAGCCAAGGGTGAAGCTAATGGCGTTTTAGGCGATGGCGGTGGTGATTTTGTGGATGTTTTGCTGAATTTGCATGGTGAGGAGGGCCTTGGTGACTCTGATATGGTGGCTGTTCTCTGGGTACGTTTAATTCGGCGTTTTTATTGTTTTGATAATTTAATTGTTCTCGCCTTCAAAATTGTTGGATATCCGAGGCTTGCAATTTATTATTCTGTAGAGATAGAGTATAAGTTAATGTTTTGATTTTATTTCTTTGTTTCTGTATCTTCTTATAAATTATTATTCTCTCTTGGCCTTTAATATTGGTTAGAATGATTTTGAATTCAGGATATTTAAGACTGATTGATTTGTGCTATCAATCTCTCTCTTTCTCTATATTCTTTGTGCTTTTGTGGTTATATATACGCACTCTTCTGTTTTTTTGGTAACATAAGTTCTCCTGATCTCTCTCTAACGATTTGTCTCTCTTAAATTTTCTTGAATTTCATGTATGTTCTCCTTGATCTTCTTGCTAAAAGACCCTATCCTTTGTCCCTCAACAGGAAATGATCTTTAGAGGTACAGACACAGTGGCAATACTGCTAGAATGGATTCTTGCCAGAATGGTTCTGCACCCTGAAATACAATCTAAAGCCCAATTTGAAATTGAAGAATTTGCCGGAAGATTCACTGGGAAAACAATACCGACATTTGATTCTGGTATAAATGAGCTGCCTTACCTTCAAGCCATTGTCAAAGAAACACTGAGGCTCCACCCACCTGGCCCACTTCTCTCTTGGGCTCGCTTGGCCATTACTGATGTTCACATTGGCCATAGCTTTATACCTCAAGGAACCATGGCAATGGTGAATATGTGGGCTATAACCCATGATGAGAACATATGGGAGAATCCCAACAATTTCGAACCAGAGAGGTTTATGAGAGAAAAGGTCGGTGTACTGGGTTCGGATTTGAGGCTGGCTCCATTTGGGTCCGGGCGGAGGGTTTGTCCAGGTAAAGCCATGGGGTTGGCCACTGTTCATCTATGGCTTGCTCAGCTTCTTCAGAATTTCAGGTGGTTGCCTTCTTTGGATGAGAAAGAGAGTGTGGATTTGAGTGAGAGGTTGATGTTGTCAATGGAGATGGAGAGGCCTCTGGTTTGTAGGGCTCTTCCAAGGAAGAGTGGTATTGTTAATGGTTGAATATGGTTTAGAAAGAGAGCAGAAAGGCTTAATTCTGTTTGCTGAATTGTGAATTGGTGTGTAGAGAGCGAGAAAGGTTTCTGTTAGGATAGAGAGAGGCCTATTTTGCTTTAGAGATGGTTGTTTCTCTTTAGAAAGTGAGAGGTAGAGAGAGAGAGAGATACTTGTTTAGCTTTAGAGAGAGTGCGAGAGAGGGTATTAGTGGTTGGTACATTGTCCTATTTGCATGTTTTTTAGAGAGAGAGAGAGAGTTATATCATTTGTATGCTACATGCATGTACTTAAATGTGAAATGGCCTTTATTCGATGTATAAATGTTACCATCTATTTAGAGAGTTGTTTTTTGTTTGGGTAGGTGTTTTCTCTGCAAAATGGGGTAGGCTTCGGAGTGTAGAGAGAGAGAAAGAGTGATGCGTCATGTTTTAAAGAGGAGATGATGTCACTCACCTATATGACTTGAGTGTGATTATCAATCGACATAACAAAAGCCAATGCCCTCTTTTTTAAAATTTTTCTTTTATAAAGTAGGGCTTTAAAACACCCCAAATCTCTACGGGAATATTTGCAAAACCATGCAAAGTTACAAAAATTGTTTTTTAATTATCTCAGTAGGGAAAAGTTTATATTGAGCCTAGGCTCTTAACTAACAAAAAGCCTACCTCAACCATTTCATTGGGATAGGAACATGGTAAAAAAAAAAAAGGATATTTTTTTTAAAGAAAAGTTTATATAAGAATGCTACTTTATAATGTAAAACTAAGGATGTCTTTCAAAAATCCATTGTTTAAGTCTCAGGAATGGTGCATTTTACAACATATTATCTACCCATCAATTTTCAAGATTTTTGTAGTTTTATAATTCTACTTGATTTTAATCATATTTGAAATTTAAAATTTTATAATCAGATAGAAAAATAGATTTTTAGATAATCTTAAGAATATTATCTATAAAAACTATAAGTAATACTCCCACCTGTGAACATTGTAATGTGATTTTTGACGGTTAGTTTTAAGATTCTTCATAGATTTGCTTTGGTCTAACATTATGTTTTAATTTTTAACATTATGTTTTAATTTTTAAATTCTATAAATAGGGATGAAAAAATATATTTTGAGGCTATTGCCAAAATGTAAATGTTGAAACTATTTTTCTCGGCACTAGATTTCTAGGTTAATTCAAATTTGATTGTTCAGAACTCAGGTTACAAACCACACCTAAACAAATGTAAGTAAAAAATCCATCTCAAAAATTGATTTATAGTAGTTTGACTCATTTATCATTTTTTACATTGGCTCATAGAAACCGCGTCCTATACTTATTTTAACGGGGCTACAAGTCCTATCAAATCAATCATTTTTCCTTTTTAATGAGTTTACCAATAGTTTACGTTTGTTCTCTTTGCGTCTCATCACATTCTTGCATTAAGATATTAAAAAAAGCCAAAAAAGATGATTTTGATGGTATATGTAGCTGTCATCAACCTCATTCTCACCTTAAATTATTATTTATAGAGCGAACATATTTATTTTGTGCTTCATTCTCCCTCTAGCTGTCCATGTCAAATGGTTTAAAAAAAAAAAATCTAACTCAAAGCAAAATCAAATATTGGACATTGAGGTTTTGAGCCTATCCAAAAGTTCTCACCTACTACAAGATGTTTTCCTCTTATCCCTGTCACTTGAATCTGTGTGGTATAAAATATGCTCCACAACACATGGCGTATTTAATTAATAGATAATGAGATTGTTAGGTGGTGATACATATTTCTAGCTCAACAAACGAAGGATCCTTCTCATGCAACGAAATCTCTCTTTTGACCATTGTTCTTAAGACTTATTTTCAAGTTTTATATATTTGGGTTAGAAAAATATTTTTTTAGTATATTCAAAGGAAGATTTTGGAATTATATATATATACTACTACTACTACGCAACATTTAAAGGTAAAAATGAATAGTTATTTTACCTATTTTTATCACCGTTCAAAGTCCATTGCGCGGTGACGATTGTTGAGTACTATTTTATTTTTTCATTTTTTTTTACAAATCAGAATGATTTGAAATTTGAAATGTGTATTCATCAAGAATAGGAAAATTTTTGAAAATTATAAAAAAAATATTTTATGTAGAAACATTTACCAAAATACCCCCCCAAAATTTTAAGGGTATTTTGGTCAATTTATTTTTTACGGACAATTGTTTTTATATTTTTATTATATGCGCCTTCGTAAGATGTATATATTTTTTAAATTTCAGGTCGTTTCAATTTGTAAAAAAAAATAAAAAATAAAACACTATCGGACAATTAGAATGGTGTGATGAAATTTGGACGGTGACGAGAATAGGTGTAATCATTATTTATTTTCGCCTATAAGCGTTGGAAAGATTTTTCCATATATATATATGGAAAAATCTTTCCAACGCCTATAGGCGAAAAGGAATAGTGATTAGCCCACTAGTTCATAAGAAAATATGAGTCTAATGGCTCAGATTGAATTTGGAATGATCTGACGTTCACAGATGTCTGATAGTACTTAAATTTTATTTTATTTTTTTATATATTCAAATCACTTGAAATTTTAGGTATATATTCTTCTCATCAAGAAACACCTAATAAAAATATAAAAAAAAGTATTCGTAAAAAATAAAATGATCAAAATACCCTCCAAAATATTTCGGGGGTATTTTGTTCAATTTATTTAATATATAATATTTTTTTGATATTTTTCAAAGATTCATTTATTTTTGATGAACAAATATCTAAAATTTAAAGTAATTTGAATTTGTTAAGAAAAAAAAAACTAAAATTCAAACACTCTTCAGATGAACAGGTGGAATCAGATTGAACTGGATTGAAATAGGCCGAAATAGATGCATTGGAGCTTTGTTTCGCTACGGTCTAAACAAAACATCCGAATACTTCAGCCTATTCGGCCAAAACGAAGGGAATTTGACAGCATTGCTTATTAGGACAACTGTATTACAAGACAACAAGAAGATCTAGCTATCAATATCAAATCCAACAGCTAGGAGGTGATTAAAAAGTTCAAAAAAATTTCATTTGAATTTTAAGCCTAGTAAATCTCACACCCTTACCGGTCCAATTTGATTTTGAATGATTGTGACCTTCTTATGCTTAAGGCAAATAAATTTTATTGCATATTTATTTCATTTTAGTTTTGTTCACTCGTCCTTACGTTTCTAAGTTTCTAAACCAAAAATAATTTTGATATTATTGCTCATCTACTTCTCTCTTTGTGCAACACTTAAATGAAAGTAGTTTTATTCTTTAGGTAAGAACCATCCTTGCGAGGGATTGGTTCATCTAAATTCTAATCTAAATAATCATAATTAGTAGTCTTAGCAGTACTAAGTACTACTATTATTATTTTAATAATAGTAATTAATAGTAGTATAGGCACAAGGGGGAGTTTATCTTTTTTGAGGCTATGGTATCTGATTAAATAATTTCCTTCAAGTAGTTTTCTATGCTTCTTTTACAACGTAGAAGTTCTATCTTCCCCTTTATCTAATCGTTCATTTTGAATGGAAAGCTAAGCTTGTCCCAATCATAATGTTATGTCTCTATATTTTTTTAATTTTAATTTTTTTCTATAAACTATTTTGGCACCAAATTTTAGACGTCCATTCCTCAATTAAACTCGCACTAGCGAAAAATATTAAAAAAAATATTTTCAATAAAATAAAATGACCAAAATATTTTTAATATTTTTTATAGGGGTGCCCCAATGAGGAGATGGTAATTTCATATTCATACAATTTGTATAAAAAAAAAAAAAAAAAAATACTTTGAGACATCGGATCTAAGATCTAACGGTGAGTGGCTCTCTTGATCAAAATTAGATGGCTAGGTAGTATGGAGAGGATAGAACTTTTATGCTGTAGAGGAAACATAGAAACCTTTCCCTTTTAATAAAAATAAAGAATATTTATCAAATAAAATAAAATAAAATAATAATAATAATAAGATTGCATGCAATGCTACTCTTTCCTTAGATGGTTTCAGAAATCTCATATCCGAAGACAGAATTTTCAATTTAGATTGAACTAAGTGGGTCCGGTTCCCTTCCCAGATCTGGAAACAACCCAAATCGAACACAATTACCCCTTTTTTTTTTACATAGAATTCAATGATTCAAATTGGGAATCACTAATAACTTAGATCAAGAGAATTGAGCAATGCCCGTAAAATTTACTGATTTCAATATTTTAACGTTTATATTCAAGAGAATCAACATCAGGGTTCAGTATTTAAAACACTGTTTAGATACGAAAATCAACATTTCAAGCTGAATGGATTTCAATTTTTACAGCATGGGGTGTGTAATTTTTTCATATAAGAAAGTCTGAAAAAAATATTTATCAAACCCAAAATACTAAATGATATTATGTCCTAGGCTGCCTAATAATAAACAGTATTATTACTCAAAATACTAAATGATATTAATAATCTCCTTGGATATTTTTCTCAATAATAACACTAATAATAATAATGGGGCACGGTTTCTATGAGTCCCCAGACTCATGTAGAATTGCAGCCCTCCTTAATAATCTATTTTTAACCTTGATTTTTAAGGAATATGTAATAGGTGTGGTTTGCATGAGCTTGCCATCAAAGTAAAGTGCACCACCAAATTTTATCATAAAATGTAATTTTAGTGTAAAATATTTTAAGTACGGTTTGAGAATTTATTTTCATCTTTAATTATAAAATTTTAGATTTTAAAAATGGTTCAAATCAAATAGATTTATAAACACATGAAAATTTTAAAAATGGACGGCCTAAATAATGTGTTGCAAGATGCACTATTTTTGAGACGTAT